GACTTAGTTTGAAAATCAAAACAAAGTGTACCAAAACGACAGAACTAGTGCACTGTGAAATTTTTTATGACACCTATTTTGCATTATGTTGTCAAATGAAAAATTGGGACACTTTCTGCTAACTTCTTAATATAGTTGAATTAACTTTGTTGCTGCGCGACAGAATCTTGCAACATGCATTTATCTAAAGAGTTCCATTTTCTAATCACTTACGACCTTTACACTTGCGAGCGGCCGCACCCATCAAGATAAGGTGTTCAAACGTTGCTATTAACCCTTGCAATTCAGTGCTATTCTGAATCTTGTTTTGGACCACTTTTTCTTCTTTCAGATAACATTGAGCTGAAGTAATGTGGCAAGAATAATTATTTGTAATACAAAGGTCTACTTGAGTGTTACAATATCTCCAGTCGACGATTAGTCGCTTTAAATTTGAAATTTATTTTGCACTGTTTTTAGGTAGCAAATGTGAAATTGGATGAGAACGAGATCGAATCTTTGCATAAACTCAATCGGGACCAACATTACATTCGCTGTTACGGGTGGCGTGTTAGATGATAGTTTCCAGTTTTTTTCTTTTTAATCTGTTCGCCTTATGCAATAAATTTTGCTTTCTCTTTTCTTCTTTCTCTTGAATTTTTTCGGTCTCTGCGACATTAATCTTATATCTTATCTGTTTCCTAAATACGAATGTGAAGCTAAATACTTCCATATGTTGACTATGAGCGATTTTTGGATAGATGATTGAGAACTTCAGAAAATGAGCGTTCACATTGAAAGTAGCATGTTGCGCACCGGATACTCACTTCCATTGATTGGGCTTGGTACCTACAAAATCACAGGAGAATTGGTTCGTACTTTTGAGACGTTAGAATATCTGAAAATTTTTGGAAATTCGTCGCAAATGTTTTTAAAAATAACAGGGAACTCTTCATTGCTAAGGTCTCGCGCCCACTTTTAGAATTACCATGGATTCTTTTCGTCAGAACTACGAGACAACGTATGAACATTTGCTGCCATTTCACCGCCAACACCTTCCTTCATTTTTGTGTAATTTGCAAAATA